GGCATTCCTTCCTCCGGGCGCTCTACCACGAAGGTCTGTGGGCTCAAAGCTGTTCCTGCCTTTGTTCCAGCATGCAGAGCCAGGGTGTGGGAGTCCGACACATTGCTGTCTGGCCTTCTGTCCCTGAAGACATGGTTCTGTTTTGGCACTGCGTGGGAGGAGATATTTTCTTCTCTTACATGAGCAGACAGAGAGTGGGCTCTCTGAAGGGTTTAATGTAGAGGCTTGTAAAGTCCATCTCTGTTTGGAAAGCATGGATCTTGATGTGGTGCAGAGCCCAGCTCAGTATGTGGAAGAGCAGCTGGGGTTATGCTTTGCCTGGGGGTAGAGATCATCCCTTCTCTCATTTAGCTGCAGTCTAACAATGGTGGGAGGGAAGCAAAGGCATGGAGCAGGAAAGAGTAGGAGTGACTTGTTAAAGGCTCCTCCCAGTAGCCAAATGGAATTGGAGCCCAGTTGCTGATTCCCGGCACCATGTCCCTGGGATAACAGCATTTCTTGCCCTGGCACTGTGGTCCCTGAGCAAGGTTGAGGCTTGTAGGTTGGGAGATGCCTCTCTCGCATCTGTCCCCATATCCATTAAGTAGAGGAAAGGAGATGATCATTGGTCAGTCCATGCCATGGACCTCCTTTGAACCCAGGAGCTTAATCTGGTGTCCCTGGAAGTTTATATCCATGTAGTGGTGTAGAAAGGTAGCATGGCTCATCCTGGCCATGCCTGCAGGAGGAGGAAAGTGTGTTGAAGGAGTCAGGTTTACCAGGTTCTTGGTGGTAGTTGCATTGCCATGTTTCTCCATTGTGGATTAGATGACACTCAGAAGAGGATAACAGATGTAAAGGACCCCATGGGTCATCTGGAGAGTGTTTACCAAGAGCTGCTCTGCAAGAAGCGTCCTGAAGAAGTCCAGCCTACCAAGAGTGACCCATGCCTGTGCCCTTCCCCGGCCCTGCAGGGACCTGTGGCTGAGGAGTCATCACTTCCAGATCAGGAAGAGCAGGCAGAACAGGAAAGAAGTCCCAGCCTGCCTGCAACAAGTCCCCACCAGCCCCCTCCAAGTCTTGTGGTTATCAAAGACCCTGTAGAGTTTGTCCCAGAAGAGGAAATCTGCAAGAACCGTCTCTCAGAGGAAGAACTCCGGAGTATCCCCCGCTTCTCATCCTACCACCCTGGGGACCCCAGCAAGGTGTGTGGAGCTGAACCAGGGTTTATTCTTCTTCCTTGCTAGCATGCCCTGAAGCTGCTTCAGCAGCCAAAGGCTCCTCTTCCCCGTTGTTTAGAGGGTGCTCGTTTGATCCTCCTGGCCAAGGGAGAGCAGCCTCCACTCTGGGAGGGAAGGGGACCTTTGGCTCTAGTGGGATGTCACCCAGCCTGGCAAAGAGCTGTACTTCAGCCCACAGCCCTTCCTGGTGCTGGCAGGTCACTAGTCAAGAAGCTGTGACTTCACTCAGATTGTGCTTAACTGGTAGCTGGAGCTTGTTGTGCTTTATAAATAACTGGAGCTATCAGCACTTGGCACAGGTAGGCATGACGATGCCTTGAGTGCAGAGCTGCCTTTCCCCATACACCGGCCTCTCTTCCAAACCCCACCATTAGCATGTGGGCGAAGGACTCTGGGGTGGCAGAGGGACTGAACTAATTCATACCTTTGAGGCATATGGACTTGGAACCAGGTTGGAAGGTGTCTGTTTGCATGGCACAGGCCGGCTGATCCTTTGTGTCTCTCTGGAGCAGGTGCTGTACTTGAAGAATCTGGGCCCTCGAGTGACAATGAAGGACCTGGTGTCCTTGTTTGCTCGGTTCCAGAAGGAGGACAGCCCACCGATCCAGTTCCGCCTCCTGAGCGGCCGGATGAGGGGTCAGGCTTTCATCACCTTCCCTGGTGAGTTGCTGCCTTGTGCCTTTCAGTTCCTCCCTGACCCAGGAAGGTGCCACACCTTCCTGCAGGGCGCTGGGTTGATGCTAAGCTTGCTCTCCAAGGAGAAGGAGGCACCTTCTCCTTGATTCTTCCTCTCCTTGATTGGATGAGGATTCATCAGAAGGGATGCAGTCTGTTAACGTGCCCTATTTATATTGGAATGTCACCCTGGCTGGAGGATCCCAGTGCTGCACTGTGTCATGGTGCAGGCTGAGGGTCTGTGAGCCAGGAACGTCTGTGGGAGCACCACGTGTGTCTGCGCTGTGTACCCTGTGCCCGTTTACTCTCTCGTTGCAGATGTTCAGTCGGCGCAGGACGCCATGCACTTGGTGAACGGGTACAAGCTGCAGGGGAAGCCACTGGTCATTGAATTTGGGAAAAGCAAAGAGCATTCACCAGAGGCTGACCCTGCCATTCCCTGCTCCTCTGCTGGAGAGAACCCTTCTGCCAAGTAAGGGATGGATAACTGCGAACCTTGTGGATTTGCATGGGCCATGGGAGCCCCTTGATTGTAACTGGGATGGCAAAGGACTGCTGGGAGTTAGTATGAAGGTCTGTAAATCTCACAGTGGGGAAGGAGAGCTGGGCACTAGGCTCTTCTTTGAGAGAGATGGGCACTGTCTTTACACTGTTGGGGTGTACTGGCTTTTTCCTCCTGTTCTACACGTGTATCTCCCTTCTCAGCCTTTTCATGGCAAGGAGAGAGGGAGGAAGCCATGTAAATAAACATATTTATTACACTCTTCCCTTAATGTGTATTTATTCATCTTTCTCCCCTGCAAGTCTTCTAGAACCAGGTGTGCTGCACTCTGCAGGACTGTGTCAGCAGAGTTTAGTCCTGGCCTCTGTGCTGGGAGCTGGAGTGGGGTTGGGGACTGGTGGGGCTGCTGCCCTGTCTGCTCTGGTGGCAGCAGATACATTGCTTTAGGACAAGAGAAAAAGTTGCCCCTTTCCTTCCAGACACGTTGGCTGCCGAGGTATCTGATTGTACAGATGCTTTATGATTGCAAATATGTCTTGGCTCCTCAGTAGTGGGTTTTAGGTAAGTAGAGATGTCCAGCTACTGTTTAATATTGCTGTGGCTGGAGGTGCTCCCAGAAGATGGGCAGCCTGCTTCTCTTCCAGGGTGACTTCCGGAAGGGGATCTGCTCTGGCAGGATAGCCTGGACTCTATTAGGAAGTGATTGCTGAAGCATTACCTTGCAGCAGTCTTTGTCATGGGTTTGGTGTGTCAGTGCTCCCCAAATAACTACTGTTATTTTGTTGTTGTTCTGAGCAGAATTGGTTAAAGCAGCCCAATTCTGGCCCCTGGTGCAGGGAGGAACATGTAGGTGTGATGGGCGTAATTGAATGCAACTTCCTGAACCCAACGCAACAAAGAGGCCTTTGAAGAAGGCAAAGAGAGTACCAGCAAGAGACCTGTGCCCAAGGCTGCTGCTTGGAGAGGGTTTCTCTCTGACGCAGCCTTTGTTCTGAGCACTGCACATGTTCTTAGGTCTGTTCATTGTGAAGTAGCCCCACATTAGCCCGAAGACTGCAGTCCAGACAGGAGGTGGACCACGGGGCAAAACCAGACCCTTAAACAGCAAGGGAAGTGGTAGGTTGCAGGCTGCTGCCCCACACCATGTTATGTCTTCCATCCCTTGTTTGGGGTCTGCGCTGAGGCCATAGGGAAGGCCTTGTTAAGAAGCAGTTTGCATGAAGAGAGCCCTGGCCGGAGCTAGTGGATCTGTCCTGGGTGTATTCTTGTCCCTCCTGTTTTGAGAGAGTTATCTGCAGGACTCAAATGCTGCTTCATCTTCCCGTGCCCAGACAGAGAATGGGAGCAGAGGGAGGAGCAGAAATCTGCGCTAAGTTGGTGTTTTGAAATCCTCCTGGTTCCTGTGCATCGTTGTTAACACCTTCACACGCCTATGAGCTAAATGAATCTCCATGTGCACAGTTCTTCAGTGATCAGTCTGGGTGGCAGCTGACATGACTGTGGGAGCATTCAGCTCTGCCTGACTATGAATTGCTCTGTACAGAAGACACCTTTACCCAAGAGAAGCCAGATAGCTTTTGGCTTCCAGCAAGGAAAAGAGAGAATTTCTCTGGATAAGTCTCATGTTCTCTTTAATTTTTCTGGGGAGAGAGTCAAGGTATGATTTATTTATGTATTTATTTTCACCTCTGAGCTCCCCCTATAACCCTTATTGCACAAAGAGCAACGTGGGCTACTCCCACACGGTGGCACCACTTGCCTGGCTGTCCCGCACTTGTCCCTTCTGCCTGGCTACTGGTCCTGCACAAGTTGCCCAGGGAATGGCCTGAAACAGGCAGTGGGGCTGAGTGCGCCGGGACCCAGGGTCTCTGGGCTTTGTAGTTCTGCTACATGTCCCCTCAATGATGGCTCCTTGTATGAAAATGAGAGCGAACATCAGGAGCACTATGCTATAGAGAGAGGCTGATGCCACGTGTTTCAGCAGCAAGCACTTGGCCAGGAGGAGGATTGATGCCCACAGTCAAGGGGCTGGTAGCTTGCTAGAGCTGCAGCA